ACGAAATACAGCAGCATTAAGCTACTATTTCACGCTGGTATTCTGTGAGAGCGTGGTCCTTCCCCGGTCGAGCCGACCCATTCGTGCTACAACTATACTACTAATATAACTGCAGCATGGCTCTACCACGTAAATAATGCAGCATGGCTCTACCACATGTAACAGAATGCTTCTCTATGCGCTATGTCATACACAGTAAAATTATATACGTTAAGCTTTCGTCTGTAATAATAAATACTAATGTTTCCATGTGGTGCGTTCAGTACTTTCCGAAAATCAAATACAATGCATGCTTTTTTATTATCATTAGTTGCTAGTAATTTATTTTCTAATTTAAGCTTTCGAGAATACTCCTTTTTTTTGATGAATTGTATATTTTTTCGCTCTGCTTATCAGTAACTTCAGGTATGTTCTTAAATTGATGGCAGAGGTCACACTGATCCTTTTTCGGAACATGAAATCCTATCTTTATCCTTGTTGGCGGCTTACAGTCGTGCGGTTAGCGGCCGCGCAACCCGAATACACACCGCTAAGAGAGTCGGGGTGTATGTCGCGTGTTTGTCAAAGGTACATTTACTTGGCGTTATGTAATTTTCAAAACTTTTTTATTTCTTTAAATTTTTTAAAGAAATTTAGGGAGCATAACATTATTACTTTAATGAGTCATTTTCCATTAAAACCTGAAAATGAGTAAAAATCAAGTTGGCGTAGTGTTCATTGGAGGTATCGTTATTATAAACAAAACTTTACGGGAATCAATTCTGTTTAATACAAGCGACTCGTCCTTGCTTCACCTTTGTATAAATATGATCTATTATTTTGACTTTATGGCATAACCCTTTCAGCTCAATATAAGTTGCTTTGTTATTATTTTAGAACCAACTATAGACTAATTACGAAAGTCCCATTTCACTGGCTACCATAGTAGTAAAAGTGCTGGAAGTTCTGCTTCAATGGCTATATAACTTACACTTTTAGATTAAGGTTATCTACCTCAACTGCAATCTTATGCCCTGAACATACCTCTTAGTGATATACATGTAGAAAAATTCAGTTTATGCATAATTTTTAGACTTTTCTAAGGCTTTTGATTTTGTCTCATACGAAAAATTGTGGGACAAACTGGCAACAAAATTGGGTCTTCCAATAGATCTTATGGAAATCTTTGGTATAAAAATCATTATCCGGCAAGTACAGGCTGGAGTGTGGTGTAGGACAAGGTGGTCTTACTTCGTTAAATCTCTTCAACCTGTACACGAACAAGTTGATCAAGGAGTTCGGTAGTACTCATCTCGGCTGATCAGTATACGAGATATCTATTAACGACATTAGTTACGATGATAACATGTTGCTTTTTAGTCCTCGATTAGACATCTTAAGAAACTGATCGCTCTTTGTGAGTGATATGCAGAAGTGCAAAGACTTAGGTAAGAAAAAGCGAATTCATTGTATTTAAAGCCGAGAGGAAAACATACTTGTCCATTGCAAAATTAAAATTAATAGGAAATCCGCCAAAACAGGTTACACAATTTAAATATGCATAGCATTGGATCAATGTATCACTAAACAATGAATTAGAATGAGAATGGAGGGTGCTGGCTTTTAGATGCAACGTGCTGACTCGCGGGTTCACTCAATGCACTCGTGAAGTTAAAATACTTATACATAACTAGCGATCCACCCCGGCTTTGCACGGGTAATATCAAGATTCTACAACAGCGACACCTATCGGGTCCGACAGGTCCAACAAAAAGTTGACCACGTATTAGCGTAATCTGATTAACGGTATGGCAATGCATAAAATACGAACAAACAAGTATTTATTTTTATATATTAGATTATGTATAAAAATATACGGTGTTTTCTTTCATATTCATACATTGTCATCCAGTCTTGAGCTATGCTCAAAATTTCAAGATTTTAGCTCATCTGGATGTTAGTTGAAAGTCAATTACTAAACTTGAATATAACCATAGAGTAAAGTAATATATAGAACAGACATACGAAAACAGGTTAATAAAAACGTGGTAAATTACCTATGTCGAAACTGGTCGGCCGATAGTTTACCCGACCCATATATTTAACCTCTATGTGCAGTTTATAATTTACTAATGTCGATGGATATTTACCGACTTAATAAAGGAGGAGGTTTTATATTCAAAGAATTTTAGAAAACGGCTGGACAAGTTATATTATTCTTTCTTTATTTGAATACGAATATTTTAAGTTTTCTGTATATTAAACTCTAAAAAACTTGTTTTGAATACTTTCCGGTGTTGTTTTGTACTTATGATGTAATTTGTATTTACAAATGATTTTTCGATCGATTGTCGTTAGACAAATCCGAGATTTTGATATGCAGTCTTAAATACATCACTAAAGTGTACTTGAAATTTCAAATCCTAAGGGGAAAAATATATACATATTTTGGCTTCATGACGTACTGCGGCGGTTCTTCCTTTATTTAGTAACGGTTGTGCTTGTAATAACAGCTTCATATAGCACGGGACGCGTGCCAGCTAAATGACAAAACATAGCATTTATTCACGGTAAAAAAGTTCACTTTCCCGACTCTGATTCATGACTTCATATATATACCGCAGCATCTAGCATAGGCCCATTTGTCTCTTCTTTACAAAAACCGATTTAAGTTATCAGCAAATAAAAGACGCTTTGCTTCTTTGATCGCCTCCGGTAAGTCATACTTACAATGATAAAATGGATGGGACGCAAATTACTTCCGTGACTGACCCCTTACTTCAGGGATGGCAACGTATTTGTTTTTTAATTCTTATTTATGTAAGATTATTTTAGATGTCTATGGTAACAACATTATTTATCATCAGGTGGCCTGTGTGCTTGTTGGCCAAACATCTAAAAAAATATTATTCAGTGTCATTTTACTTTATTAGATAGAAGGAATCCTTTTTTAGGAGTTCGTATATTTATATATATATAACCCCTTAGCCACATAACAATAGTGCAGGCCCTGCTGTATTCCAGTCCATAAGGATAGAGATCCAGGACTTGGGACTGTGAGGCCACCTTGATACATCACATCTAATTACATATAACAATGCGTCTTTAGCATTCCTTATTTGAATTAATGCAAGATTCCAAAAAAGTAGAAAATCAGTACCATCAGGTTTTTTTTATAGAATAAAGATAATAAAAGAGCACTTATTCCACCTGATGGTAAGTACATGCGTGTACATGTGACCCATAGATATCTACATTTATCCTCGATTAAGAATCAGAATGCAGATATGTTGTCTCCTTCGAGGAGTAAGATGAAATGCTTCGTTCCCAGTAAAATGGGTGGTATTTTGTGTGAGCGTGGCCCTATCTCGGTCGCGCCAACTCATTCGTGCTACAAGCGTAATATACCGCGTACAGAACAAGTATACCGTAAGTTCACTTGTCACTTTAATCTTTCAAAAAAATCTTTCATAGACTCAGATACGTGTTAGAGCCACGTCGCACAGTATACACAAAGCACGTAAGCGTATATTATTTGCATAATTAATTCACTCAATGCTCGTCATGGATGTGCACATTGCAACTAAACGAGATAAATATTATGCGCAACACCGTTTTAAATTAAAATAATCTATAAGCAAACGAAGCGCTAAATTACGTTGCAAGTTGCAATAGTGAAAATAATTCTTCATACATTTTATTCACTAAGCATTTTAATAGAAGTAGGCTAACACACACAAAGTTCACATGATGTTAAGTGAATGTTGTGGCCTATAGATACTTACGTCTATTCTCTATTAAAAATCAAAATACATAAGGACAGCTCCGTTGAGCATTGACTTAGGATTTGGCATTGTTCTGAGTCTGTATATGTGTCTTTGTACAATTTATGTATGTAAACAGCCTCCAAGATACAGAATAAAATCCTAGTGTTGATATAACTTTTTTAAAGGAACTAATTTTTTGCCATCCCTGAGTACTAGGATGGAATAAATCTTTACTCTTAAAAGCGGGTTCCTTCTCCGGTTCAGCGGACCCATTCGGTGCAGCAGCGTAACTCTAAACAAGTATGGACGTTATTTATGTAACTGTGATATATATATGTGTGTGTGTGTGTGTGCGTGTGCGTGTGCGTGCGCGTGTGGGTGTGCGTGTGTGTGTGTGCGTGTGTGTGTGTGTGTGTGTGTGTGTGTGTGTGTGTGTGTGTGTGTGTGTGTGTGTGGGTGTGCGTGTGCGTGTGCGTGCGCGTGCGCGTGCGCGTGTGCGTGTGCGTGTGCGTGTGCTTGTGCGTGTGCGTGTGCGTGTGCGTGTGCGTGTGCGTGTGCGTGTGCGTGTGCGTGTGCGTGTGCGTGTGCGTGCGCGTGCGCGTGTGCGTGTGCGTGTGCGTGTGCGTGTGCGTGTGCGTGTGCGTGTGCGTGTGCGTGTGCGTGTGCGTGTGCGTGTGCGTGTGCGTGTGCGTGTGCGTGTGCGTGTGCGTGTGCGTGTGCGTGTGCGTGTGCGTGTGCGTGTGCGTGTGCGTGTGTGTGTGTGTGTGTGTGTGTGTGTGTGTGTGTGTGTGTGTGTGTGTGTGTGTGTGTGTGTGTGTGTGTGTGTGTGTGTGTGTGTGTGTGTGTGTGTGTGTGTGTGTGTGTGTGTGTGTGTGTGTGTGTGTGTGCAATGCTACTGTTTTGTTTATCAATTTACGAGAACCAGAAACATCAGTAACGTGGGTAGATTGAGTATTTAAGCCAAATATCCACTTAACATCAGTCACTGTCAGAATTGTGTGCTTCTTTAATTCTCTTATATAAAGTATAATATATCTCAGATCCTACAACGAAACATGAAAATATATTCGCGAAAAGTGTTTCTTGTAATATATATTCATGTAATAGATAAAATAAATACACTCTGGCTAAGCAACGACTCTAGAATTTTTATATGGAAATTGTGTTTTTTTTTTGTCTTTTATTAAGTTTAATTTTTGTTAATAAGTGTTAATGTTAGAAATTAGAGTACGTTTTCAATTTTGTTAGCAGGTCATGTTGCTTGTGATTTGGTCAGTGGTCATATTGGCCGCTGTGGCGCTCTACTTCCGTCAGTTGTACACCAGGTTCAGCAGATATGGAGTTAAGCAGTTCAAGCCGATACCGATTGTTGGTAATATGGCTCGCATTACGCTACGTCTGAGTCATTTCTCTGATGACACGCAAAGGCTTTATAATGCCTTTACTGAAGAGAGGTAATATTATATATAGTTTTTTTTTTTCAAAGTATTATAATGTTCATCAGATCAAATTTCGGTCACGGCGAACCAGTATTAACCAAGGCTAGCCCTCTGCGTACCACACGATTATTATGTACGGGTTTTTGCGCAATCACGGGTGCACTCTCTATTGCCTTACTCTCATAGTCCGACGGAACGGTAAAACGATAAGACCGGAGAAAGATCAGATACAGAACCAATGGGATGAAACACCGCCATATTGCAAAAAAAAACAATAACTGAACTCGGTCTGACCCTGGATACGTTGTGACTAGCAACCTCGTTTATGATCACAAGATCATCGAGGCATTCAAGTCGAGGTCACATAATATTACTTACTAGGTAGAAGGCAATAAACTTGTGGTAGAACATCTTTTCCGCCTAGAAATTTGTCAAGGTAGGAAGAGAACCCTTACACACTCTTAGCTATTTATGCTGTCAAGCAGCTGTCTGTATCTTATTTCAGTAGTCAGTTCTAAGGCAACAAATTCGTTTTCAGCTTTGACAACAAATATGTTGCATTCTATTTTTAAATTTTTTGTAAGTGCCCGGGGACCACCGAAACCATTTACCATCAGGGGGCTTGTAAATTTGTTTGTAGCTTCAGATTTGTAAAAAAACGTCAGTCGTATTACTGCACGTCAGAAGTGAAAGTTTCTTAGATTCACAACGTTGTAAACATTATTTTTGAATATATGTATCTGAGCGTAACGATCATGCGATTTAAATGATTTTCCCCATCCCAAAAAGCTATATGTAATCAGCTCTTTTGTATTTATATATATGAAATGTATAAATAATTAATAATACTAGTGTGAGAGCGTATGTTCAACTTGCTCTCCTGTGTACGCAATTATTCATCATCCGCAATAAAACAGCGTACTTCGCTATGCATTCGGTATATACCAATTACAGTTCGACCATTCCGTAATATGTTCACGTCACAATTACACAGTAGTGTAACATGAGGAACGTATTTAGATGATGACGCTAAAGCAGCTAAAGTATGCAAACAAATAGCCACACCACCCCATCTCGTTGTATCACAGAGCAGCCTCATCAGCGACACCATCTTCCTTGCCCGCACTAGAAGAATTACTTCAAAGAACTGAATATATATATATATATATATATATATATATATATATATATATATATATATATATATATTATATATGTTTCAAATTTTGTACGTGTAGAAACGCTCATGAGATGCTGGAACAACTAGAAATACTCATATTTACTAAAAGCCCAGGTACCCCTTAACCTCAAAGAGGAGTCGCAGGATGAAAGGCGACCGCTACCCAACTACTGCCCCCCCGATCTCCACGAAATTATCATGATGATGCGATACAACGTCTAATCATTGTCTTCCTTTAAGTGTGTACATGCAAAATAACTAATGAGTCTAAAGACCTTCTGATGGTTGACAGTTTCTTCGCTTGTAGAAACCTATGTCTTTTCTCGATTAGGAATAAAAATATCCTTTTTCTATCCTGATGACTAAGACTAATTTAGCATTTCAACAGATATTCAGAATACGCAACACTGTGTTTATTGCAAACACCAATTGACCTGCTAAATTCATGTAATTTATAACAAACTTTTTTAATTACAATAAAGACTCATGTCAATGGACAGTTTGATTAATAGAGCAACACGAGCCACTGGCGGACCGGAGGCATAGTAAAAACAGAATAGTAGGATAACTTCCGAGCCGCGCGAGACTTAAATGCCTACTGTTGCAGGGTTGTCACTGTCTTTTTATTTAACAACTGAGTCTTATTTAGTTTTATAAATAGTCATATTATTTACAAACGTAATACATACGGATACGTACCTATGCATCATATATGCTAAACATTTGTTTAGTTTCCTCTCAAAGAACCAATATTTGTCAAAAAAATCCAGCTTTGCATTACAACAAATACTCGGATAAATATTGTGACGGCCCAATATTATTATTAATAATTAAATTAAATATAAAGGGGCATCAAAAATAGTCTTAATATATATATATATATATATATATATATATACATATATATATATATATATACATATATATATATATATCATATTACATATAAAAGTTAATATAAATACATTTCAGACATTAGACCAATAACATATATAATATATAATAAATAAATTTATTATAAAAACTTGTAAAAATATTTAAAATATGATAAATAATAGAAATAGAAGTCGAAAATATTATAAAAATAAAGATAAATAACATTTATAAGATAATTAGAAAATTTGTTAAAAATTGTCTAAGTTGTGGAAGGACTTCATGTATAAAAGAAAATTTTTCTAAGTTGTGGAAGATGTTCATGTATAGATGTCTTGTATGGAGGAACTGCCGGAGATACATACCTGCAATTGTACATATATATGGGGTGGTCGGGAGCCCGACTGCTTGAAGTACTGTAGCACAACGACTTGCCCTATATTAGGGACTTATGATAATAAACTCAATGATATAAAAGCAATACTATAGAAGGTCTCTATGATGAATTTGCATTACAATAGTAGGGTCGTAGGTTCGAGTCCTATATATGAATGACTTGTAAAGGTAAGGTCTATGATACAAAAGCAATACTATAGAAGGTCTCTATGATGAATTTGCATTACAATAGTAGAATCGTAGGCTAAAGTCCTACATATTAATGAATTATGAAAGTAAGGTCTATGATCCAAAAGCAATATTATAGAAGTTCTCCTTGATGCATAAGCATTATATGGGGTGGTCGGGTGACCGACTGCTCTTAGTACTGTAGCAAAATGACTAGTCTTTATTAGGGTCTTGAAAAGGAATACTATGGTGGCGTGTGTGCTGCTTCACGAGCAAATGGTTCGAGGTAAACTTGGACTCGCTAACCGATGTGTCCTAGACATATCATCTTAGTGCCGGCGGTAAGCGGGTTTGTTGTAGCAATACGGCTTTCCTGTGGACATCGCACACCCATACCATTTGTGAGCGACGTCGTAGCGCATAGCGATGCGTCGTCTACCTTTCGATTGGGATGAGTGTGTTTGGTAGCACTTTTAAGTGTAACAGGCATACTCAACTTCATGTCTTAGTTCATTAGCGCTATGATACGTGGAGTTTTGTTCATTGGCGTCTTAGTAGTGTGCTACTATGATACGTTGGTAATATTTTTTAGTTAACAACAATACAAACTTTGTTAACAAAGTCGATAAGGATCATTTGGGTGTGTTGTGAGGAGGCGCCACCCGTATGATAGTTGCTTTGATGTTTACTGCTACTTGCGGTATTGCGTCTTGTGATGGTTCTGCGGGTGTGCTGCGCCTGATTCGACGCATTCTTGTGGTTCTGGTCGATGGAGGTATACAATTAACATCTTTGTGCCGGTGGTAAGCGGTTTTGTTGTAGCAATATGGATTTCTCGTGGACATCGCACACTTATACCGTTTAAGGGCGGCGTCGTAGCACATAATGATGCATCGTCTATCTTTCGGATTGAGATGAATGTGTTTGGTAGCACTTTTAAGTGTAACAGGCATACTCAACTTCATGTCTTAGTGCATTAGCGCTATGATACGTGGAGTTTAGTTCACTGGCGTCTTAGTAGCGTGCTACTATGATACGTTGGTGATATTTTTTAGTTAACAACAATACAAACTTTGTTACCAAAGTCGATAGGGATCATGTTGGTATGTTGTGAGGGGGCGCCATCCGTATGATAGTTGCATTGATGCTTACTGCTTCTTGCGGTATTGCGTCTTGTGATGGATCTGCGTGTGTGCTGCGCCTGATTCGACGCACTCTTGTGGTTCTGGTCGATGGAGGTATGCGGGTGGTGATGTCTGCTGGGATGTATGGGGGACCTTGGGATTGTGTAAGCTAGTCGTGTTGATGCTTGTTGCGTGCTGCAGCGTTGTGTCTCTGCGATAATTGTTTGGTGGGACGCTATTCTCAATGGCGCATCCCGCTCTATGCGTCTTGGTTTGACTCACACCTGAGTAGCTTTTCCCAAGTCGGGTCCCTTCATTACGGGGCTGCAGACTGTCTGCCCTCCACGATGTTTTCGTGTAACTTTCTCACCTTTGAATGATTGAAGGCAACTTGTTGGTGGGTGAGACAAACATGATCGAAAATGCATTTACTCAACGTCAGTGACACAAAACCTTTCTGATGGCAAATTATTACTAACAACTTATAACTGCCTTTTGGCTATATCTGCCGTTGTATTGGTTGGTGGAGCATATGTGTCGATCTTATACGAGTGGTAGCTGGCGGAAGGATCTGAGGAGACTCTCAAGGCTGCGGCCGAAAGCCGCACAACGTGGGACCCCATTCCCTTGAGGTGAGCCTCATGACACGCTCTGCCGCTGGTAGCCGTGATGATCATGCAATTGGTGGTGATGCCATACACTTACATCACGTCTGCAGGAGCTGCGGTCTGGCAGGTGGTGGCGCTCACGGAGGGTTTACGGCCAGTATGCCTATTTGCCTAAACCGTGTGACGTACATTCACTGTGACTGGATTCGTTCGTATTGCATTGACATGCGCGACTTCGGTCGATGTTTGTGCTTACGCACTAACATGGGCCAAGCCTCTTTTACTGGTTCGCCAGTTATTTTGCTGTGGACTACGGTCCAGTTCCCGAATGAACGTTCCCTTCGGGGAAGTGCATCAAAATGGTTGGCGCTCACTTTTTAAATATATGTAGGAGAGCGAAGCCTTTGTATCGGGTATTTTGTATAAATATATTGTGAGCCTTTTCCAAGCGGGAAGGCATAAATAATAATAAATTAATAATGTAAACCTGATACAAGTGGAATAGGGACGTTTTATGTTCTTAACCTTTCTCGAGCCCTGTCTTCGTGAACGGGGTTCACTTAGCTTATAAGGCACTACCAACAGCTTTCAATTACTCTAGTGAATATTATTTCTTCCAAAAGATACCTAAAATAACTAAGTTACTAAACAAACACAACGTAAATAAGGGTCCTAACTAAGACGATCACGTCAAAAATATTACAAACGGCCTATTATTAAACCTTTAGAAAGATCATTTAGAAAGATCAAAACATATTTTATTAATCCTGGTCAAAAAAAAAAAAAAAAAAAAAAAAAAAAAAAAATAAATATTGAATGGGGTTAAATTAATTATATATTTAATATTTCATAATTTTTATATATAGATAGAGGGGGGATGCGTTACAGTACCATTTCAAATACATTGCAATGAAAATTGGCTCACTTATAGAAAATTTCTGATGTAACAAACATAAAAAACATACAGTCGAATTGAATACATCCTCCTTTTTGAAGTCGGTTAAAAGGATCGTGTTATCTTTCACATATAAGTTATGTTTAGTCACATTAAGCTATATGCTACTTTTAAAAATAAAAATTACAATAATAACGTGTTGTTTCGGATTTATTTTCCAATCCAGGCCGTTCACCCTTATACAATATGCGGATCGGGTGAGCGACTGATCCGAGACTGTATCCAAGATATCACTGTCAACGAGCGTATTTTGGTATAAGGTATATATGTGTAAGAAATTGTTTGCATAATGTTTTTATTATTGTGTGAGTTTCGCAGTGACAGACGATTGTTTTTGTGTGCGCAGAATTTCCCCTGCAAAAATAACAGACAGTTCCATATTGAGAAAAAACGCTATGGTTATGTCTTTCAGTCCGCCAGTGGTCCGTGTTGTTTTATGTCCTAGAATAAAGAAAAGCAGGAAAAACATTAAACGTTATATCCGCTTATGATCCCTCGAGCCCCAAGAACTTATCATGATAATTCGAGACAATGATGAATCATCATCAGGAGATAAATGAGCATTTAGGCCCTCTGATGGTAAATAGTTATCGTTGATTTTATAAATCTATATTAATACTGAATAAGAGATGCTTTGCATTCACTATGGACTAAGATACTGTGTCTCGTTACCAGAAAAATGGGTCTCTGGTTCTGGTCACTTAGAATACGGAACACTATGTACAGTGCGAGCGCCAATCGATCAGTCAGTCGTGGCTATTATAATTAACTTTTCCGATTACAAGAAAGACTTATGTCAATGGACAGCTTACAGTTTAATGATAATAAAGAAAAACAGGAATATCATTGGACGTTATGACTCTTAATTGCAATTATATTTTTCTCTCCTCTAGGTTCGTAGGAAGGTTTGAATTCCTAAACCCTATGGTGATGATCAGAGACATAGAACTGATAAAGAAGATAACGGTGAAGGATTTCGAATACTTTCTAGACCATCGCTCCTTTGTTAACGAGAATATTGATCCTTTCTTTGGGCGGAATCTGTTCTCATTGAAAGGTATCGTAATTATAATAGAATAATTAATTTTTATTTTTTCCGTAATATTATTATTATCTGTAATTACTTTTACTAGATTTACTGTTTTTTTTCTATTGTTAATGAAATTATTTTCTATGTTATTCTTTTGAAAAAGTTCCTGAAATAACGTGTGAAACTCCTGTTTTCTGTAATAAATATGCAAAAATCCAAACCTGCAATATATCATAACGTTTCGTTTGCGACCGTTTGAAACGATTTGATCAGAGACTATTAAGCGTTTGATATTGGTCTTAGAATAATAACATACTGGTACTTCCTCTAAACCATTGGCAGTGTAAACGTAAGCTCTTAACAAACTTGATGAATGTAACGTAACTAGCTAAGCGCTTGCGATTGTTAAACAATCCATTTTTCGTCGTATGAATTTTCCGGTTTCAACGGTTCAAAATTCGTTTTTGTGCCTGTTGAGCAGTGCAAGATACGTCTAGATGCGAACTTTGTGCGGACGAGCATTGGATTCTTGGGACAACCATTCGAAACCTTTTTACCTTTCCAACGGAATCGGGCAAACTAATAGCAGGTGGTGCGTTTGTTTGTAGTATTCGTTACATAAACGTCGTTGATGTAGCGTGTAACAGTGTAACGTTAATTATTAACTTAAAGTATTCTTAACAAATATTATAAATATATTTTAGCTTTCTGCACTACTTGTCCATATAAACTTTAACAATGCAAATCCTCACACAATTTGCTTAAAAGGAAGTGAAAAGTTTTCTCTTTAATTATTAGTATATAGAAGTTAGATTGCTGGTATGAGGTAAATGTTTTTATTTTGTATTAGGAGATGAATGGAAAGATATGCGATCGACATTAAGCCCTGCATTCACGAGCTCTAAGATGCGTTCAATGGTTCCATTTATGGTTGAAGTTGGAGAACAAATGATAAAATCACTTAAAACAGAGATTCAGAGTTCGTCAGGTAAGTAATTAAAACATTTTTAGTTATTGTACGCCATCTTAATAACAGTCGTACCTGTTGTAAACGTTGTAAACTTAAAGAAGGATGCTGGTAAACGATTTCCCAATTTTGCTATTCACATTATTAAAAATAAATAAAGTGACAGATGAACTTACAGTCCACATGATAGGAACCGGTTACCGCGGCCATGGACCCTCACAATCAAAATTCAACTACGAAAGAAGGCAACAGAAGCGTTGTTACCTTTGAGAACGTCTCACAGCATTTAACCGCAATATTCGATAACAAAACCAACCGTTGTTTAGTTCGAATACGTGGAATATTACCAACAGGTTTTACATTGTTGATGAGTTCTCTTTCGCTGCAAGCACTCGGCACAGCTTTTACACGTAAATGGTTTGATTTTTCAGTACATGACAATACATTGATGTTTTTCGTATAATTTTTCATAAGAACCAGCGAACCAAATACTGACAGTGGAGCATTTAATTTTGGTCTTTGAGAAACATACAGACAATCAACGGTTGCAGCAGGTAGTACGGGATCAGGACTATACTAAACAGTAGTATGTGGTATTCAGCAGGTCACTTATTATCAAGTTCATCACTGCAGATGATGTAGATGTTGAATTTATAACATTTCATACCCAAATATATAAACATAAACAACAAGCCTTCCACCCAGAGGGTCAAAGACTACGGGTTTCCATTTAACATAATCCTGGCAGACCCCTCTCGCTTCTATGTATGTATGTAGCTGGTACGCGGTAGATATGCCACGCTAGATTGCAGTTGCATTTTCATTTACAACAGTTAGTGCGTTTAGGCAAATACGAAACAAAGTTACATACTCGTACTATCTAAAATAAACTTAAAATCACATCGGCTGGTAGTAGTTGGTACAGCCTACCGAGATCCTGGAATTTAATTTCAGATACTTTAACTAATCAGTTTTTTATACAGGTATTATACGTTTTCTTACATTTTTGCAATAATTCTTTAGATCTAACGAACTAGTATCTTTGTAATAAATATCTGCCTTAATAATTTCTAATTATTGCGAAACTAAACGTAAAATTGTGATCATTATCGTAGTTAAAACTCGCCAAGAGAATATCTTATTTGATAGAATCAGGCGTTACTTTGCGGAAATCCATTATTATAAAGATATTGACTAATTTGCAACCTTCCGCTAACTAAATACAATGATGTGTCTTACCTGGATTGAAGAGCACCTCCCGCCTTCCCTCAATTGCGTGCACTAATTCCGTCACCACTAGTCCCAGCACCACTACTCCCAACACCACTACTCCCAACTCCACTACTCCCGGCAACACTACTTCCATATATATTATATCTTTATCGTAATTAATATCGTATTTCATAACAACTAATAATGTTTTATTTAACAGGTGAATATATTAACGTAGAGGGTAAGGATCTGACGACGAGATATGCAAACGATGTTATCGCTTCCTGTGCCTTTGGACTGAAAGTGGACTCACATTGTGATAAAAGCAACATATTCTATAAGATGGGTAAAATTGCTGCAACCTTCAATTTCAAGCAGTTGCTAAAAGTTTTCGCGATGACTTCTTGTCCTGCTGTTACTAACGTAAGGGACTCAATATGGTACCTTGCATTATGTTTAAAAATTACACGTATTTATCATAGGTTTTGCATAAAGTAAACGCGAAATGTTGGTTTTTATTCATGAAATTGTATTATAAATTTTACAATTCAATATTATGAATATTTTTTTTATCTGTGCCTCAAATGTGCAAACCGTCACATTAAATTCCGTCGTGACGTCTCTTCAATAGTAAACTTGCTAATGTTATGTGTATTATTTCAAAAAATTTCAAGTTATCATCACGATTGTTGACTCTTGTTTCGTATTTTATTGAAATTACATCATGGAAATGATACATTGATGGTGGCAATTTTTTTTGCATGATTTAAAACATCAATATAAGTACCTATTACCAACTTTTGTTTATACAATTACACAATACCTGGTCAGAGTAACTTTTGATAATACACAGTTATGTTTATCTGTCATTAAAATCTCACATAACCTTATTTTTGTTTTCAAGTCAAGAAGGTAAACTTACAGGGGTGACACATTAGGCTATGTGCAGCTTAAGAATGTGCAAATCACATGTATAGTTAAGTGTACAATATATCCAGAACAAAAAGTACGTTCTAAGCAATATGCAGTTACATTTGTTGCGAATGAACAGGAAGATACTGTGATTGAGTGCGTCTGCCCATTGTCACTGCGTCAGAAGGTGGCTGCTAGCATGGTGTTATATTTTTGATGTAGTTACACCACCGAACCAAAAATCCATCCTGCACTTCAGTCGAATGCTACTTCATAAAATCCAATCTGACCAATGTTGGGTCGTCAATAAAAAAAATTTAACAAGATACCATTTAAAAAAATATTTCCAAAACGATAGTTAAATACAAGTCATATTTACATCAAAGTAATCATGATATAATAATAGTCTAGTTTTCGTAGACCATGTATTTCTCATATTTACATTAGTTGGCACTTGAATCCATAACATCACCAGCGTTCTTATGCACGTATTTTTGCATTCAGGCACTACACGCCAAAGATGAAGATGATAACTCGTTATTAATATATATATTTTCCCTCTGCAAAATCGTTTTATTAACTAGATTTAGTGAAATTTAACGTTTTAGCGCTACATTTTAAAATGTATTTAAATATAATTGTGGTTATTAATCACTCTAGGATTCATATATAACACCATTTGAAAATGGGTTTAATACCCTATACCACCATTTGAAAATGGGTGTAATACCGACCAACCATACGAAACACAGCAGCTTCACACTGTTGTATTTCATAAGGTGAGTGTAGAAAGTAAGGGCGACAGCGGCATTCGCATTTTGATTCGTAATGACGAATAAATGTAGCTGTCTACGAGGCACAGCATCAACTTACTATAAGGTGGATTGCGTGCTCGGTTGTCACCCTTATTCTATTAAAAAGATGCTATCTTTTGTAAGGTACTTTAGTTGTAATATTTTTTTATAGGGTAGGGTGACAAACGAGCACATAGTCCACCTGGTTGCTGTGGCCCACAGATATCTACATCTATCCTCGATTACGGATCAAAATGCAGATGCGTTGTCACCCGTGAAGACTTAGACGGAATGCCTCGTTTCCAAGTTCAGTTCTCTACACTCACCATATGAAACACAGCAGCATTAAGCTGCTATTCTTTCTATAAAATAGTGGTTGGACAGAGATTAAAGGCTTTACTCCAGTGAAGTGTCGTATATGTTGTAACGTGGCAACCGTTGTTATTTATAAAGCTTAGCGCTGGCCCCGACTGCCTATGCGGCCCGGGCCGTCTGTAGGTAATTATTTCACGCAGGTAGCAAGAGTGACAGAAGCCTAGTATGGTAAATGTAAAGAATCAGAGGCCCTTTATACTGTAAACGAGCTATTCTGTCTTAGTCCTCAGGAGTGACAACGCATCTTCGAGAACCGGAGACCCTTTTTTACTGGAAATGAGGCTTTCCATCTTAATCCTCACGGGTGACAACGCATCTGCATTTTAATTCGTAATCGAGGATAGATGTAGATGTCTATGGGCCACAGCAACCACTTACCATCAGGTGGACTGTGTGCTCGTTTGTCACCCTATCCTATAAAAAAAACGTGGCGGCACAGCCAATTGTGTATCTATCAAAAGTGTATCTTCATTAATTTCTGTAACAAACACTATTAATTCCCACTTCTTTCGCACATGTCTATCCTGAATGCTCCTATCTTTGAATTTACACACACATACGCACGCTTTAGCTGGTTAAGAAAATTTTGATTGAAATCTGGGTAGTACATGACAGTAACATATGCATTATCAGCAATTAGCATTATAAGAGTTTGCACAAGTGTTAGCTTAGTCTTGATAGGATGGCAATACTTCAGACGATAGAAAGATCGTAAAGTGGCAAAGACTTTGCGGCCAATTTCAGTGACATGCGGTAAGCAACCAGTCCATTGTGTTGTCCAAATACAGGCCAATTTTTTACAGAGGTAGAGAACGTTATACAACATGTAGCAAAAACCCTGTGGCTCTCGTTAACTGTGTTATCAGAATCAGTATTCAAGCGTTTATAATTTTTTTTCCAGAAAACTCGACTATAATCTTTTTAAATGTAATTTAAAAAATATTTGCAAATTGTATGTGGTTTTATTTCCTCTAACTCACACGAGTATTGGTAATTCGGGGTCTCTAACAATCCTTTTACTTCTCGGGCAATTCAGATATAATAAAACCACATGCAATTTGCAAATTAATTTTTTTATTAAAATTAATTATTTAAAATGTATTTATATATAATTGAAAAAAAAAATTATTTCTATGAAATTACAACAAAAAAATTGATTCTGATAACGCACTTAACGGGAGTCACAGGGGTTTTGTTACATGTTGTATATTATATAACTTTAACAGTCAGCAGGAAGGAAAGTAAACATATAAAGGGTTCAAAGATTCGGAATTCTTACTTTTTCCGAACTCCGGCAAAAATAAAAGAAAAAACAAAACCAATAACAGACACGTACGCAGATGACTAGGAAGAGTTCAAATTACTTTAATTTTATTTCATTAAAATTCTATAATAATAATTCAAAATGTTTTTAATTCATTTTATTGATGTTTTATCTAATATATTTTTCAATGTTATAACTAATAAAATAAAAATATATAGTAAAGACGACCGCAGGAAAGCCTAGTTAAAAAATAAAATAGCACATAACCGAGATGTACACGCAAACACACTCCCACCACTTTCTTCCACGTTCTTTACGTGACGCGGCATACCATTGACTTATATATTACTAGCGTAAGGACCGGACCGACCAAACAACTAAAACGGACCAGTGCGATGACCCTAAAATTACAGTTTAGGGCCAACGTGAATCAGTCTACAGTAGTGCGAGCGCAGGACAGATTTGCCTGTCATAAATATGTCAAGCAGCGTGGTAAAAGAATGCAAAAATTACGATACGAAGATTAAAAAGGAACATGGGATATCGCATCATCGGTTAATAACCCTGTATTAATTTTGTTACAATTAAATTATTATATGAACGCATTTTTAAAGTTTTATTTTACAGTTAGTTTAGGTACGTTACCAATAATAGGCCAGGGTTAGATTCAGACCCTCAAAAATATTGTACATGAAAAAAAAATAATACTATTTTTTTTAAAATATATCACGTTTGACGTTTCATGTTTCTTTTTTTCCCATGTGGCGGGATTTTGGCGTCACGCGTCTAGTTTATATATATGTTTCGTTTTTGACGGTTTTATTTTTATTTCCGTTGTATTTTTGTCTAAAAAACTTAGAATAAGTTTAATTTTGAGTATTGTTAAATACTCAAAATTTAACTTATTTTTATGGAACTTACTTATATGGAATAATGGTAAAACGAAAAGAGTATAATAGAAACCATATCATAATCATAATCATAATTTATTTGCAGAAAACATGGTACATTACAGGTTGGTAAATTATTTAAGTAGTATCTGCTTAATTGAATCTGAAAATCTGATTCATAAAATATTTTGAAATTCTGCTTTCAAACCGAGTGCTTCTGGAGCATAGAATTTTAATCGTGGTAGCCCCTCATTATAATTGTATCAAGGATGCAACATAAATGCATCGATCGAGCACCGATTGTCCAGAAAGAGAGCTAATTCTAATTTTATTAAAAAAATAATACAGAAATTCTCGATATCGTAGGGTTAATATTAAAAAGTAAAAGGACCCAATAATAATACAAGTTGATCTTTAGGTAAAATGATGGCATTTGCGCTTAGTAGGTATTACAATACTATATACTACAAAGTATGAAATAATGGTACAGTTAGGATAATTATACTACGAAATCCAACCCTGATTACGTCGTGTTATGATATGACGTTTGTATTAAGGACAGATGCGCTACTTTTTCTTGTATGAAAAAGTTATGAGCTATCCTTCCTTTTGAAGTCATTGGCAGGTACAGGTAGGCTTGCCAAATCAAAACATTCTCAAACTACCTACGACCCTACGAATATAGCTTTATACTTTGTTGGATTTACTGTTGTTCATTTGTCCTTGTCACCCTTACTCAATAAAATAACTGACATTTTACTTTCTATGTTAGCCACCAATGCTAGTGGAATCCATCAATAAATAAATAATTTACCATTGAAATTCTTTGTGTATTTAGAAAAAAAAATTCATAAGTATGCGAGGCAAAGACAACAAAATACAATTGTGAGATTTTGACTTATAAATGCTTGAATGGCCAAAAAATTAAAGATAAAATATTTCTATGGGTGGGTGTAGCTTTATTTAAACCTTCTCAGAAGTGAGGAAACACTTAATAGGAATTAAGATGGCTTTATGTAACTAACCACCAAAAAATAAATATTAAGTTTAATTTTACTTATTTTGGCCATAGATCCTACGTCTCTCTTTGTTCGAAAAATCAGCAAAAGATTTTTTCTGGAACTTGGTGATGAATACAATGAATGAACGTGAAGCTATGCAGATTGTCAGGCCTGACATGATTCATCTTCTGATGGAGGCTAAGAAAGGTAAGGGTTTTTCATAAGTGGACGCCAAAAACCATTTATATGTCATTTTTTCCTTCATCTTCCATTATTCACAATTTATATTGAATAAAAATTATTCTATTGTATTTTATTCCAAGGTCGATTAACTCACGAAGACAAAAGTGCTATCGATACTGACGCTGGATTCGCAACTGTCGAAGAATCTTCTGTGGGAAAGAAGAATATAGATCGTGGTAAGTATTGTCATCTCTGCGGCTAATGCGTGATTTTTTTTTTATTTTCTAAGCAAAATTTAACACCCTTAAACACTAAAGACTATCGCTTCTAGAGCCCTATCTTCCTTTTCATCTGCCTGAACCAGGAAAGTGATGTATATATATATATATATATATATATATATATATATATATATATATATATATATATAATATGGACAAAACAAAGATTATGTTTAATGTCCATGTCACACCTATGCCGGTAGTTGTTGGGAGCACTATGCTCGAAATTGTTGACGAGCACGTTTACCTGGGACAAATAGTCCGACTAGGCAAGTCCAACTTCGACCGAGAGGTCAATCGACGGATTCAACTCGGCTGGGCAGCGTTCGGAAAATTATGACATATCTTCTCGTCAGGTATACCTCAATCTCTAAAAACTAGATTGTACAACCAGTGCGTGTTGCCAGTGATGACTTACGGATCTGAGACGTGGTCCTTCACTGCTGGCCGTATGAGGACGCTCAAGGTCGCTCAGCGATCTATGGAGAGGGCTATGCTCGGAGTTTCTCTGCGCGATAGACTCAGAAATGAGGATATCCGCAGTAAAACCAGAGTGACCGACATAGCCCAACGGATTAGTAAGCTGAAGTGGCAATGGGCCGGCCATATAGCTCGAAGAACCGATAACCGATGGGGAAGAAAGGTTCTCGAGTGGCAGCCTCGTACCGGTAGGCGTAGTGTAGGGCGACCCCCCACTAGATAGAGTGACGACCTGGTAAGATATGCAGGAAGTCGATGGATGCAGGAGGCTCAGGACCGTGCTTTGTGGCATTACTTGGGGGAGGCCTATATTCAGCAGTGGACTTGTGAAGGGCTGTAATGATGATATATATATACCTGGTGGTAAGTGGTGATAAATCCCTACATGGTAAATTGCACTGTCTAAACATAACAAAAGCCTATTTACTCCCTTACCTTGAAGATGTCTGGATTGAATTTGGATTAAAGACAGACGCCGGCATTACAAACTCCGTATATAAAATACATAAAAACAAGCTACCAGAGAATATGACACTATTAAATGTCAACAAATTCAAAACAACTTTAACTGAGCGGGTCCTTGACTGTCGAACCATCTGGCAGCAGAACTTTTCAATGTCTCGTCAAAGCGGTCGAGACAAACCTTTGCAGGTCTACACTACCTTTGCTGGTAAAAGCAGATTGCTCACCGGCGCATGCGGCTAAGGAAAGAGCGGACTTATTTGCTTCTCATTTTGTTGGCGATTTGCATCTGGACAGCAGCAACAGCGTATCTCCTCAATTACCTCATTGCGGTACCTCTATGTCGGAGATCCGTATCACCAACAAAGAGGTTCTTAAAACCTTGCAAAGTCTAAACCTGAACAAAGTTAGTGTACCTGATGGTATATCAGCTATAATTCTAAAGATCTGTGTGCCTGAGTTATCTCCTGTGTTGACGCACGTGTTCCGTCTCTCATTTTGGTCTGAAATAATGCCCAAATCGTGGAAGCTAGCAAATTTGCAGCCTGTACTTAATAACTGGGGACCTCCTAGAGTATTCCATTCACATATGGGACGAAGCCCTCGAGAATAGTAGGGAAGCACTTGCTGTTTCATAAATATATTTTTATTTATTTATTTGTCAATAAGTAACAAATATCACCTGGTAAAATATAAAACATTGACCGCACCACCTCACTGTAACGTAAAAAATTTGAGTAAAAGGCTTGTGCAACTCCACACAGAAACCTAGAAACACATTAAACTATTATACTTTATTATTGTGTTACTAATGTTGAATGTCTTATTGTTTAGTGTGGACTGACAACGACATAGTGGCTCAAGCAGTGCTGTTCTTTATTGCTGGTTTTGACACTATTTCTTCTGCTATGTCGTTCGCGCTTCACGAAATAGCTGTGCACCCTGACGTTCAGCAGCGTCTATATGAAGAAATCAAGGAACACAACGAAAGTAACCGTGGATCTTTAAATTACAATTCCATACAGAGTCTGAAGTATTTGGACATGGTTGTGTCAGGTTTGCTCAATTATTTTCACTTACGCCTATTTTTAGATATTGTTTTAATGCTAGCAATGCTTTTAAAATTACTAATATTCTGTCTAACCACTTTAGGTAAGCTTATAATTCTTGTTTTAGTATTGGTTCATAACAGTGGTCGAATGGCGGGTTTAAACCCACGACTTTTGTGTTCGCTGCCTGCACTCTACCATTAAGCTACTGTCGCGTAATTATTATTTTATTCGTCTATATACACATGAATAAAATTGAATCGAATAAACTTTCAGTGCTATTACTTTTAATAATCTTGTTCTCTACCTGTCTGTATTGTACCGATTGTAATGTAACTTTAGGAACAGGTAGAGAGATTTCCATAAGGGATCCTAGGCTATATTTCATCTGAAAATTATATTATTAGATCCTATCCAGGCGAATTCCGGGCGGATCTATATATTTATTTAATGCTAGCGATCCGATGTATATTTCCAGAACCATCGGTTTTATTTACTATAATTCTTATCACTGTTTTTAGATAGGGTAAGGTAAGGACAATTGTTTTACTTTGAAACTTTACTTATCTTTTAATAACAAATATGTTTTGATAGTATTTCTTGTTTATGTATTTTTATCTGTAAATATAATGCATCATTCTCCGAGGTAGTAGACATAGTCTAAAGGACAGTACACTACTTGGACAAGCTTTATCAAAAATAAATTGGTATAGATATTGTGAAGGTAGCTAGTGATAGGTAGCTAGCCTATTGCCTATATCATAAAAATTCTAGTAGCCCATTAGTGGCATTTTATGGCGTGCTAGGCAAGTAACACAGTCACCAATTTTTTTGTTATAGGCCCCACACACAGATTACCCCCTAATAGATACCGCATCATGGAATATTTGTATATATATATATATATATATATATATATATATATATATATATATATATATGAAATAAAAAGAAAAGAAAAATAAAGAATAAAACTATATATACGGATTTTATCACGTTTCATTAACTTATGGTCACGGGGGGAGGGGGTTACTGAGATGTTTGACGTCTCAATGTCATGTTTAGCCTGGCTACCTTCAGTTTTTGAATACATGGCTAGCTTACAGTATTTTGAAGTCTTGCAGTGGTATACTTGGGTTTGGTAATAGTGACTGAACACCAAAACTGACAATAATTTCATTGTCAGCGAGATGTAGGTCTTTTATCTCACTAAGAAAATGTTGTGAATCCTTTATGTGCTCTGGTATGTCCTTCCGGTGGTGACAGTATTTTTGCCAAGTGTTGTACCTCAAAGTAATATTATTAATTAATAAATCATACGGTACGTATTCAAAATTTAGATGTACTTAATAATAATAAGATATTACTGAAGTTCAAGTAACACTAGAATAACGATAATCACATTATAACTTTCACGTGTTTTATGATTTATAAATCCGTTAAAAATAGTTTAATTTCGACGTGTAAAATTCGTTGATTGAAACGTCATATTAGAATATAACGTTTCAATGAACCACTTAATGCTATTGCTTATTGTGTAATCTAGTATAGAGGCAAGTATAGAGATAGTATAGCGGAATCCAACAGCCTTCTACGGTTTTTCATAATATGAAGATTGTCTTCTGTGAAGTGTCTTGAGCATAGCATACTATTTTTGTTAGGATACCCTTGCTCCCCTCGACAAGTAGCATCGATCCACATCTATTTGCTTTCGGGGCATTTAGGAAAACTATAACATATGGGTAAAACAATGATACACCACTATTTTTATAAAATAATGACTAAAAAATGTAAACTATGACTAAACACATGTCTACTTACAAATCACAACAATATCGATACACGTGCTGTCGTTAGACAAAGACAACTACTGTAGTTTATGTAATGAGTGAAAGGGACATTTCAAAAAGACATCAAAGGGTGCTTAATCGTTATCACTTTGCACCATTATATTACCAGTATAAGTTGAACTTGAAATGCACCGGGCATTTGAAATTGGTTAAGGTGATAAGAATAGAATTTACTTACCGATGAAATTTTATGCCATCTTTTTGATAACTTGTTGTGGATGTCTTAGCTGACTTGCCACAGTATTTTACTGCACAGGAAGCCATTTGTAATTTATTTTGGATACAAGACTATTTCTAAATCGTTAAGAACTCGGACGTGCCTACGGGTCACAAACTTGGTCGACACTGATATCGTGATTCTTAGCGTTACTTCGTATGCTAGCTACAGCAAGCATGTGTTGCGCGCATTTGTGGCCCTGTATGCGGAATCTATTTGGAGGTAATCTGTGGCCCCACATTAACCATGGGACCTATAAGTCCCAGACCAACTAAGGACATTTTGAAACAAGTGCATGTAAAACAACTTTTTGTATATCGGCAACTTTTAATGACTTAAAGTAGTCACGTTCCGTGTAAGTATACGTAATGATGTTTTTGAAATAAATAATATAGTATACACCGCTGCTTAAAAGAGGGCTGGTTCTTTTCTCGTCCAATTGCTTAGTATAGCCATTCATAGAAGGAACCACATCAGCGTTCTTAGCACTTTGCACACCATAAACGTCAATAATCTACAAAAAATAATTAATACACTAAAATTATCTTACGGAGTGTTTGATAATTTTTGCGATTTGTTTCTGTTGTAATAAAATTTGTATTCTTTCCAACATAAACACTGTTTACTTGAACAGTGAGCATAACTAACATAAGAAATTGCAATTAGTGAATTAAATTTGAATCAGAAATAGAAGGTATTAATAACGATTGGTAATAATGATTCTATGAACTTTCAGAGGTGCTTCGAAAATGGCCTCCGGGCGTTGCATTGGATAGACTTTGTACCAAAGATTATAACTTAGGAAAACCAAACAAACAAGCAACACAAGATTACATAGTAAGTAAATGCATTGTAAGTTAAATTTCTGATTAACAAGAAAAATATAATTTTGAACCAGGTACATTATATTATGTCATTACAATAAATGTTTAATGTCCATGTCACACCCATCCTGGTAGTTGTTGGGAGCACTAAGCTCGAAATTGTTGACGAGTACGTATACCTGGGACAAATAGTCCGACTAGGTAAGTGCGACTTCGACCGTGAGGTCAATCGACGGATTCAACTCGGCTGGGCAGCATTCAGGAAATTACGACGCATCTTCTCGTCAGGTATACCTCAAAATCTGAAAACTAAGTTGTACAACCAGTGCGTGTTGCCAGACGGAACGAGACGTAGTCCTTCACTGCTGGCCATATGAAGACGGTCAAAGTCGCTCAGCGAGCTATGGAGAGGGCTATGCTTGGAGTTTAAACTTAGAAATGAGTATATACGTAGTAGAACCAGAGTGACCGACATATGCCAACGGATTAGTTAGCTGAAGTGGCAATGGGCCGGCCATATAGCTCGAAGAACCGACAACCGTTGGGGAAAAAAGTTCTCAAGTGGCAGCCTCGTTAGGCGAAGTATAGGACGACCCCCCACTATATGGAGTGACGACCTGGTAAGACATGCTGGAAGTCGATGGATGCAGGTGGCTCAGGACCGTACTTTGTGGCATACTTTGGGGGAGGCCTATGTTCAGCAGTGGACTTGTGAAGGGCTGTAATGATGATGATGATGACAATAAACAAATTTTTGAAATAACATAGTTGTGAAAACGGTGGTGGATTTTTTTAAGCATGGCTCATGTTAAAATGTAAATTTTTGAATAGTAACATTATTTTTTGATTACGTTATTTAATTGGGTGCAACCGATTTTTAACATATTTTTCAATAAAAGAATCAAAATAAATACGATATCAACCAGATTTGATGAAAATTCCCGTTTATATTCGTTTGAATAATCCATTATTGACCGTTTTCTACAAATTTTGTTCAGGTTCGAAAAGGTGAATCGGTTATGATTCCCGTGTGGGCGATCCACCACGATCCCCAATACTACCCAGACCCAGAGAAATTCGATCCGGAGCGATTCTCCGAAGAGAATAAACACCTTATCAAACCATTTACCTACGTTCCTTTCGGTCTTGGCCCTAGGAATTGTATAGGTGAGTGTTTTCTACTCTTGAAATAATACTAGTTTTACGGAATTTATCGCGCATAATATAATATCATAAAATCATAGAATTATTAGACTATCCGCCGTACAGCCCCGACCTAAGCCCTAATGATTTCTATTTTTTCCCTAAAATAAAGAATAAATTGCGTGGACAGAGATTTTCATCACCTGAAGAAGCTGTGGACGCCTACGAAACGGCCATTTTGGAGACCCGACTTCCGAATGGAATGGTTGCTTCAATGATTGGTTCCATCGTATGGAAAAATATGTCAAATTTCGCGGAGAATACTTCAAAAAGCAATAAATACATTTTTAAATAGTAATGTTGTGTCACTTCCTTGATTCCCAAAATTTTCAATGCCACCCCTATACCGGCAGACCGGATGGGAGAAGTCATAGCGTTTTTCTCCGATTAAGAAATGTCTGTAATTTTTTGCGGGAGGAAATCAACGCACACAAACTTGAAAATCGAGAATAAAAATTAAAATAATAAAGTATCAATTTCACGCACATAAATAAATCATAATAGTTTTGTTCGGTGACAACGACAACTTGGACTGGATCGGACTTGGATGAGTCACTCGCCTGAACTGCGTATTGTATGGGGATGAGCAGCCTGTGTTGGTTAAATCCCAAACTTTAAAAATAGTGGAATCCAAAATAATAACGGGTGTTTAATATTATTAATTTTTAGTTGAAAAAGAAGTAAACAACAATAGTGGGATTAAAATTACTTTTAAATGAAAGGTAAGGCTAAGGCTTTTTTTTTGTAGGACGTTTTATACTATTCAGCAGCGCAACTGGATTTTGTCTAGTGGGTAGTGCGGCTTGAAGTAGTTTAATTGTACGCATAGGATCTCGTAGACTTATATTTTGACAGAGGGGAACGTCTGTGTATGGCTACACACATGCGATCAGCCAGTGGCCCATGTTGCTCTATGGTTATTGTTGTTGTAGTTAATCGTTTCTTGAAAAATAAGTTACTACCACCCTACATCAAGCCAGCGGTAAAATAAGAAAATAAATGAAATGTTTCAAAATTTTATGATAATTTGTGACACAGAAAGCCAGCAAATTTGTTGCTAACGAATTAGAAACCGGTGACTAACTTACAGTATCCAAGCAATCTTTAGACATGATATAGAAAAAAGCAAGATAGCACAAGCCTACTGAGTTGCAAAGGGACAATAATGCCATTTATTGCTGGAGTGTTATTTAACCCTGAAGACTGCTACGTTATATATTTTGGGTGTTGCGTACTCCCATTAGATACACGTACTTTATTAAAGGACACGTATTTAATTAATTTACTGTGTAGTGGCGGTGTAAGAATATCCAGACATACGACGGAACCAATCATTGAAGCAACCATTCCATTCGGAAGTTCGGGTCTCCACAATGGCCGTTTCGTAGGTGTACACAGCTTCTCCAGGTGATGAAAATCTCTGTCCACGCAATTTATTCTTTATTTTAGGGTAAAAATAGAAATCATTAGGGCTTAGGTCGGGGCTGTACGGCGGATGGTCTAATAATTCTATGATTTCTTGCTCTAAAAACTCTTTTGTTCTGTGTGCGGTGTGAGAACTCGCATTGTCGTGATGGAGGATGATGCGGCGGTTGCAGTTCTCTTTACGGAGTTCAGAAACGATCTGTGGCAAACAAATGCTAGCATACCATTCTGCCTTAACTGTTCTTTATCCCTCAAGAGGAATAGTCGTCACATGTCCGGTTTTGGAGAGAAACGTGGCCACCATTTTTTTTGCAACACTCCGTGAACGAACAATTTTTGTTGGTTTTAACTCCTTTTTGAACACCCAAACTCGGGACCGGTTTTTTTGTTTCGGGTTCGTACGCGTATATCCAGGATTCGTCACCTGATATGATGTTGTGTAGCATTTGAGGATCCTGCGTGGAATCTTTCGAGAGTTCTGACGCACCAAGTAACGCGAGCCGCTTTTTGCTCTTCACAGAGCGAATGCGGTATCCATCGGGAAAACAACTCTTTGCACCTAATTGTTCATGCAAGATTACTTGTATTTGACTCATGCCAATGTCTAAAGTTGCCTGAATTTTGCGGTATGTCAGATGTCGATCTTCCTCAATCAGCTTACGCACAGCATTAACGTTTTCTTGGGTGACTGCGGTTTTTGGACGACCTTGACGGGGATCATCACTGAGCTTGACACGCCCACGTAGAAATTCAGCAAACCAGCGATAAATTGTGGTTTTGGATGGGGTTTCATCACCAAATGCAGAAATCATCCGGTCAACACACTGTTTTTGATTAAGTTTATAACATAATAAATCATCGCTCTTGAATTTTTTCGAGTCAATTCCATTTTCTCAACGACTAAACAAGTTTGACAAAACCTTGTGACAAGATCGAAAATCTTTTTTTTTTAAATAAATAAATGATATTCAATTTTTAAAACCAAGGAGTTTTCAATTAAAAAGATTTTAATATGACAGGAACAGTGGAAATATTCCATTCCCGATACTTTTAGTGCAGCCTATATTTAATTACTATTTAATTAAAACTTACCATGCTGACTTTTGAAAGCTAGTTTAATAGAAGTGTATTATTTTAACAGGTTCTAGGTTTGCGTTATGCGAGGTTAAGGTAATGCTGTATCAGCTTCTTTTGCACATGGAGTTGTCTCCGTGCGAAAAGACTTGCATACCAGCGAAACTATCTACCGGTACTTTCAACGTTACCATGAAAGGCGGACACTGGTTCAAAATGCGATGCAGAAAACAGTAGAATAGATTAGAGTTAGCTTTGTTTATACAGAGAATACGAAAAAAATGTAAAATAGTTACATAAACATAATATTACGATAGAACTAATTTTGCAGATTTCATCATGGGATCTATGGTTGTAACGCACATAAAATCCATAAAATCCGTAACGATAAAATCCGTAAAATATCCATTAAAATATGTTTACTAATCTTATAGTATATAACCAATGACGTGTCAAATGAAATACACCGCACTCAGCATGATGTTGCGGATTTAATCATAACGATGATGTTCAGTACCTGTATACCTATTTGCACTGAGCACTCCGTTTAAGATATACAGGTTTATTTTTCAAATAGTAGCCAAAATTTAAACATAAATTCAACAATATACTACAACTTTAGTTTAAAATTATCCTAAATTGAGTGGGATTTATGGGCAACAACGTTTTTTCCTACCGATAGACCCTTGTGAATGTATGCGTGCGTAGCAAAATAAGTTAAAACAATGCCTTATCACGCATTTTTTATGTAAAAAATTAAAAGGAAAGTTTAGGTTATTTTTTTTTTCTAATTAATTCTTCACCATTTGCAATTATTACTTATTCAGAACCTTCTGTGCAAACTTGGCTGTTTATTGAAAAATATTCCTGTGTAATGTTGTACGTACGTATAAATTAAATTGACGTGTCTGTCTGTAACATCGGAATAATGGTTCACCAATTTTTCGACTTCTCAAAATAATTATCAAGTTCTTCGGAATATAATATATATATATATATATATATATATATATATATATATATATATATATATATATATATATATATATATATTCCATCTGTTTGTAAAGTATTATCACAATCTGTTTAGCTATCCCGATGATTAGCCCGAAGAGACAGACATACAAAAATTTAAAAAATGGTAATTTACGTGTGTGTGTGTCAAAAGCATGCAAATTACCCCTGAGCTTAATTAAAGCCAGTTATTTAAGTATTACAGACGGACCCTTCAATTTTATTTATATCTTATAATTTCACAGCACTCTAGCAATCTGAATTCAATCCCCACCAGAACCAATGAAATTGTTATTTGCAATATCACGTGGCATCAGATCATTTGCAGTAAAATGCTTACTTTAAAAGTTATAGTAAGAATAAGTTATTGTAAATATTCTGGTTGTAATAAAGAAGTAAAAAGAATTTTAGTATTTTCTTTAAATATCCATCACATTGACTTTCCTGACAATTACAATAATCTATGCAGTGGGACCGAGTTTAGTTTTAAAGACTTTAACTGCCACTTAAGGTGAATGAAAATTTTTTTTTTAAATTCTAGTAAACGAACTCTTGGATCACAAGAAGGTAACCTTGAATGTAGTGTAGACACCGAAAAGGTAACATATCCAAACCGTACGATAATGTCGCAACAACTTTTAAATTTAACTGATTTATTTTTGAGAATATGGGGCAAACGAGCATGCCGCTCACCTAATAGTAAGTGACAAGCATCGCCAACTGTGATAGGCACCTGAAAAAATACAAACATTATTAAAATACTAAATCTATAGAAAACATTAATTGTATTATTAAATATTCTGTTATAAGTGAACCGTAGTCCTTTAACGGTTACTCTATAACTGCTACAAAATATATCACGCTGAAAATATCCGAGAATAGCCCTCACTGTAGTTTGGGACCCTCACCGAATAGTCACAGGCGTCCACTCGTAGTCGACAGATGGACCACGGGTGGACGCCGCGTTGTCACCAGCGAACCTCCCGTGGTCATCGAGTGGACCTCGCGTCGTCAATAAGTGGACCTCGCGTGATCAACGAGTGACCCTTAAATCATACAATAAATTATACTTCCGAACTTCTTCTATAAGTTTTTCTTTGTTCATTTTAAAAACAAACAATAATGCGTCCGACACATTCGAAAGAAAGGCTCGAAATGAAGCATAGATAAATAAATATGTAGCAAGCTACAGATACGACAGCGACTTTTAGTCAAGTGTCCCAACTACGTCTTTTGGCGCTGCAGTCGCCCAATTTGACAGATGAGTAATGACGTCATGACTATACTGTTACGCGCTAAAGTCGACGATACACTAGCGCCATCTAGTGTCAGGAACGAGAGCGAGGGGGAGCTTTGCAGTGAATGACATCACAACCGACAGCGCCATCCGAAGAAACTAAGTTTCTAGAAAATCTATACTCGGACTCTCGATACCTTACGCGTGTTTGCTTGAACATTCTGGATATTTGCTAATTTAAATAAGTAGGCGCTGCAAGGTGCGATCGGGTCAGAGTGAACTCGGCGACACAAGCGAAGCTTCGGAGCGGAATTAAGTAAATTAGTGTGTTTAATTATTAGTGTTTTAAGTTTTAATTTGTGTAAAGTAAATTAAAGTGTTAATTTAGGTAACTTTATCGGCAATTTTTATTGTCACGAACCTCAACCTCGTAACAATACAATTTAGTATAGCTTAGGGATTGCAAGCACACAGCCTTCTAATTATCGATATCGATGTTTAGTGGTGTTCTTATTTTGTCGATATCGACATAAGTGCATTATACAGGAATAATAATACTTAATGAAACAATTATAATACATCTAACTTATTTATTTTTTATCCAAGCACACCAACATCATATACATACAAACGTAATCTTAGGATTAAATTAAAGGCACATTAAGTCATATATACAAATTAGAAAATTGTACATAACATTCATGCAGCGCTTCACAAGTCCACTGCTGAACGTAGGCTTCCCCCAAGAAATGCCACAAATCACGGTCCTAAGCCACCAGCATATACAGGTCGTCACTTCATCAACATTTTATTTACTTAAACATGTTTTTCTTAACCTAAAACTTTTATACTTCTTTAAGGCCAATTTTTGGGGTTCACCCATTTTAGATACATATTTTTCATTGATATTTACCAATTGTGTCCATGTAATCTAATTAAAATATTGACGAAAAAGTTTTTGACAATTAAGGCATGCTTATCACACCCTAGGCAGGACAAACTTAAAGTGCTCAATAAATTTCTTTTCAAATTACTTTTTATATTACTTCCAATACAGCTATAATTCAAATAGTTATGAATAAAGTGAGTGCCATCCCTGTACAAGATAAGGAATTTTTCGTTAGGGTATGCCAAATTATTATTTTTTAACAATTTATACTCTCTAAATTTAATGTAAGAGTGAATGTTTGTCTCCGTACTGCTAATATATGTTTTGATGCAATCCTTACAACGAATCGCTTTCGTTATTTTCCGACAAATGTATCCAGCAGTGTAAGCTGACCAGTGGACTTTAATTTTTTCCATGACTACATCATTCACTAGCAATTTTTCTCCTGAACTTGCTTGTGAAGAAGATGGGAGATCTCGCAAAACACTGGTAGTGTTTTCCGAGTCATTTTCTTTATTATTATGAAGGTTTTTAAAAAGAACACTAACATTTAATAATGTTTCTCCATTATCCTCTTCACAATTAGAGAATTTGGAATGTGGACTAAGCATGTTAGATAATATCAAAGATTTAAAGGCATATATAAATGTGTTTGCATCTGGGTTAACATTTCTATAATTTACAGCTCTTATACGTCCAAAAAAATTCTCTAATGGGTCTTGATTAATATTCCTCGGATAATAATATTCTACATTATACTGTTCAAATAATAATTTGGAGACCCTTATAAAACTTTCAAGAGTTGTAACCCATCCTTGTTGGGATGGCACTCGCACAAGTCGAGGTTTTCCTGCTTTTGTAGCATGTTTGCTACTGGTGTCCACAAAAACCATTTTTTTTATTTTATTAATGGCCTCAATCCAAAAAGTGTGATGTTGTGAATTTTGTTTAACCGCTCGTCTTAACTTTCCTCTTTGCACACCACCCGGGTAGCCATTGACGCTGTCAAACAGTGTGTCAAAGAATTCAACAACTTCTGCTGTTGTGGCCATTGTTGCGTCAGAGTTTGCAGTATGAAAATAATCTGAAAAAAAAACTACTTCTTAATTTAATTTCTTTTACAGTTGGACCTGCAAATCTTTAGCCAAGACACTTCTTATTTGGTTACAACAAAAGACTTTTTTAACCATTTTTTTACAAATTGATTTTTTTACATGAAATTTTACAATAGTATATACATAAATTGAATAAGCCTACAAATCAATATAGCAATCGTTACTTACTGAGTGCATTTGTATATTTGAGCATAGCAGCAGTTCGAGCACTAAATACTTGAGCAGCTACGCTGACCTTCATTTTTTTGATCTTTTTGCGATCAACATGATGAGCTGTTAACTTTGGTAGTGCCCTTGTGTGTCCCAATTTGCTATCCAAATCAAAAATGAACTCAATATCTTTCCAAGAGGCGGTTTTTTCTTCCCAAATTATATCTTTATTTAAAAAATTATTTCTTAAACCCTTTAAGAGATGAGGAGGGTCAAAAAATATGCTTAAATTGTGATCAGCAATATTAACTGATCCATCTGTAAAATAATTAAAATAAATAATATTTGTCATGAAGTAGAACTGGTTTTTAAGTAATTAAGAATGGTACACACCATCATGAACACCTTGAATATTCCGCCTACGAATTGTATCTTCCCTAAGTCTTCTTATTGCTGTTCGAAATGTGGACCCTTGATCACAAACAAGACCTAAAGGTATTAACCCAGTTCGTATTACTTGGGACACAATCTGCTTTAAAATGCATTGCAGCTCTGCTGCTGATACTGTGCCTTCACAGAAATAAAATGCTACACTCTGTCTCCATGGATAGCATATTCCTCTTAGCATAAAAACTAAAGCATGATCACAATATTTTAGTTTTCTCTCTCCAGCTATATCTACAAACCCATTAATTATATCATCTTTCTCATTAAAAGTTAAATGTGGTGTCAGAGAGACTTCATCAAAAACTATTGTGCATAGCTTTTGTTTAGTGTCCCATTTTTTTTTTGTTGTATTTGATATATGTTCAAATATTAATGGATTGAGTCCTGCTTGTATTGAAACCTTCTCAGAAAGTCTATATAATGTCCGTTTACTAGGCAAGGCAAACATTCTTTCTAATAGTTTATAACTTTTGGGGCTTTGTTTCATTATGAGCAATGCTATTAATTTTTCATCTAAGGTAAACCTTCTGGCCATTTTGCTTTTATGAATTTGTTTTAATTGCATAAACAAGAAAGTCTGAGCTTGTTTGTTTAACAAATAAAAGTTTTCCAAAAGGTCTTTATTTCTTGACAGGGATTGGGCTTGATCAAGTCGTTGTGATACTGAGTCACTTAAACTTTCAGTTGCAATATTAGTCAAAAATTTAACCAATTTTTTTTCCTTGATACTATTTTCTTCGCCATGTAACCTGAAGTGAAATAAATAAAATAATTAAATTCTATATTCATATTTTATGACTGAATGATACACTTAAAATTATTAATTTTTTATTTATACATTTTTATTTTAATCTTTTAATGTATTCACTTTGATAAGATAACAAATAAAGTGGATGTCATCAGAGGAAGAGTTCCAGAAAAATGTAACCTTAACAGTAAAGGACTTGTTGATAAAACCATTGAAGTGTAGTGGAACTGTAATATTGGGATTAGGTGAAGAACAAAAAACTCTTATTGTGATTTGAGGTAGATATTGAAACTTTTTCTAATTATGTCTAAGAATAAACTGAATTTATCATACCTGTTTGCTTTTTTGTACATGTGCTACCTTTTGGCATCATTTGTTTCACCACATTAGTATTAGAATCAATTCCTGAAAAGAAGCAATAGTTATGAATGTTATGGTCTTAAACATAAATTAAATTTACAATGTATGCTTCTCTGTATTGTATGTCTAAATTAAATACACGTAACCATCCTCTAGAACTCATGCAGTTCCAGGTATGCAGTGACAACTCCAGTCCACAGCCTGTTTTTAAGCATTTAAAGTATTTTTTTCTATTACCCGATATATAAGTACTTCTTTTAATTTGATCACTACATAAATGTATAAAAAATTATGCCCAATAAAATTTCACATACCTTTATTTTCTACAACTGTTGCAACAGTTGAAAAATTTGAACATGAAGGCTGTTCATGAGAACCTACAACATCTGAAATTTGTTACAAGTTTGCATTTTTATAGATGTCAGTATGCTTACGCAAACATATTATTAGAAAATAAATGTCTAAGAATAAACTGAATTTATCATACCTGTTTGCTTTTTTGTACATGTGCTACCTTTTGGCATCATTTGTTTCACCACATTAGCATTAGAATCAATTCCTGAAAAGAAGCAATAGTTATGAATGTTATGGTCTTAAACATAAATTAAATTTACAATGTATGCTTCTCTGTATTGTATGTCTAAATTAAATACACGTAACCATCCTCTAGAACTCATGCAGTTCCAGGTATGCAGTGACACCTCCAGTTCACAGCCTGTTTTTAAGCATTTAAAGTATTTTTTCTATTACCTGATATATAAGTACTTCTTTTAATTTGATCCCTACATAAATGTATAAAAAATTATGTCCAATACAATTTCCCATACCTTTATTTTCAACAACTGTTGCAACAGTTGAAAAATTTGAACATGAAGGCTGTTCATGAGAATTTCCAACATCTGAAATTTGTTACAAGATTGCATTTTTATAGATGTCAGTATGATTAGGCAAACACATTATTAGAAAATGAATGGTTAGTAAATTTATGAAATAGTTAGAAAGCTTTTTTTGCTACTTAGTAACTAGTGCTACATGAATATTAGTACACACCTGACGATCCAATCTCTACCGATGATTTGGAACAATCATTTTGCTCTTTGTAGTAATTGTGTTCAATCGTAACATCACTTCCTGAAAACATTATTCAAAATGTTGTAAAATTTGCCACTGACTGTAATTTAAATAAAATATTTTTAGAAATCAGTGTTAATCATAATATGTTTACTATGATTTACAATTAACATCAATTAAGATATTTGTACATACCAGGCTTTCTAACCACTAACACAGCTTCTGTGAAATCATCTTCATTTTGCTCTTTACAGTAATATGTTCAGTTGTGACATCCCATCCTGAAAAAATTACACTATCATAGCAAATAATGATGTAGAGTCAATGACACTTACAAATGGTCGTACTTTTATCTTGTTAATACTTGGGCCCAAGAATGTATAGAGACGTCTCCTTCTCTTTTAAGTACCATGGTTGAAAGTAATAAAATAACTCACCAGTTGCAGTCAGAGGCACACCATGAGCTATTTCATTGTCAGTAAGCAAGGACGGGTAAGAGTATCGAAGTCTTCTGCCTTCATTGCCGAACTGAAATACATCAAAATGTTTTTCACAGACACGTTTGTTAAAGTAACTGTTCTTTGGAAAGTACAATGAGCTGGGGATTTGTCGGCACTATGAAAGCCATCCACAAGTTCCTTAAATTATCGTTCCTAGGGAATCTGAAAAGCCGGTGCGTTTCACGTGTTGTATTGCAACCACCAACACAACACTTTTCGTATACCATTATGATGATATATGCAATATTCACACGAGCAGCACAAAAACAGAATATTGTAATAATTGAGAAAAATTTAGATAAATAATGGCGGCAAATGGCGGCAATCAATATCGATAGTTTTGACAATATGATTTGACATTAATAGAATATGGCGTCTCAAAATGGCGTCCGTAGGCAGAGTAAAAATTGCGACGGTAGCGCCAAGTTGCGTAGAATGGAACTAAGCTGTCACGGGCCTGAAATGAAGTGTTGGTGGAGAGCGCCGCATCGCACTCGCGTGAACCGCGCGTTGCCAGCTCGCGCTCTGCGCGAGGCAAGCATGCCGATAGCGAGCTATCATCGAGTGGTCCACTTGCAGTTCGCGCGTGGACACCTCGCGTGCGAGGCGATCCGGTGATGGTACGGAGTTGATGTAGTGAGCGCAGACCCATACAAATCCATACGAAGAATACGAACCGCTCGAGGTGAGGCGGTGAGGGTCGAGTACCGGGTGGCTCTAATGAGATGCGACCTGTATTCGTCCTCGCCTCTTCCTCTTACGCTAGGTAGCTTTTCTACATCAATTAGTTCCCAGTAACTTAACATATTCATATTTCACAGTACTTTCACCATCTAGGAGGTTAGCAGTCTACATATCTCTCTCTTTTGCGTAACCATAGAAAGACACACACCACATGATTATCGGGTCTTTACATAACATGTCCATTGTCCACACCACCTTTTTAATACTATAAGGATTTTAATTGAGTACACAGTTCACCTGACAGTGATTGGATGCTGCTGCCCATAGATACTGTTGCTGTTGCTCAGAGACTCCTGAGAACTAAGATAAAATGCCTCGTTTTACAATAAAAAGGGTCTCCGGTTGTCTATATTCACAATACATATACAAAACACAGATAAAGATAATAAAGTTACGGATTCCAGGTTTAATTAGTTTAAGAGTCCAGGCTAAGCTTAATAGCATACCGCTGCTCTCTTACCTGTAGAAAACCGGAGAACTTTTTTACTGCAAGCGAGGTATTACAACTCAATTCACTTAGCTTACACTATCAAACATATAATACACATTTCGACGAGAAAGCAATCATTAAGCATTTACTACGAATCTCCGGTGGACGCTCAGTTGCCACATAAGACCTGACAACATATATAACACATGCACACTGAGGACTGACAAGAAGATCCTGGAGCTGTAAGAAGAGATAAAGAAGTTGCTCTGGGATATTATAGGATATCTGGGGTCCGAAGAGAGCGAGAGGACAGAACAGTCCTCGAATCCTGCAACTTGTTCTTTACCGAGAGGGTGAACATCTGTCCCAGGTAGGTGTTTATTGTCCACAAATCTATCGTTAACAACGTTGTAAAGAATGGTTGTGTTTCGTCGAGAGTTATACTCAAACTCACCAAAAGATATTCACTGAAAGTCATACAGATTTATGCAACTACCTTAAAAAATCACTTTCAGAAGGTAGAGTAAATGCATGAGGATATATCTAGAGCCATGCATTCCTCCAAAACTGACTGTGCGGTGTTAATGGGAAACTTTAACGCACAACTAGGCACAAGAGAGAACGGTAAGCCGCAGGTAGGTAAATTCAAGGTTAGGCAGCGGAACTGAAAAGTACAGCAGTTTACCTACTTTATGGATAAAAAGGAGTTCTTGATAATGAGATCATTTTTCCAGGAGCGGCTCCACAGAAAGTAGATCTAGAAGAAACCCGACGGTTAGACAAAAATGAGATTGATCTCATTATGACAACTAGACAGCAACTGTTCAGTGTTGTTTCAGTGATGGCTAGGATGAAAACTGACAGTAATCACCGCGTGGCGAGAGGCACACTGAACCTTAACGTTAATTTGGAAAGGTCTATCTAATGAAGTCAACGCTCCGTCCACCTCGTCCTCTAATCCAAAGCCTCGAAAACTTTCAGCTCGAATTAAAAAATCGTTTTGAGTGCCTTTAAGACTGAAAGAAAGTGGATATAAATGACAAGCTTGTTGATACTGCCCATGCAGTCGGACTAAGTTCTGTTCATCGCAGAAAAACCCAAAAACTTTGTGGCCACTCTCTTCATCTTATGGCTATTAGACGGGAAATGAAGCGGCAGTTTTTAAAATATATGACAGCGTACACTGAATTGAATAGGTAGATCCCCAAACACACGCAGCGGGACTAACGCAACTTCAATATATCTTGTATTGTAGAAGAAATTGAGCAAGACCAGGTCCCTAAAATCTTTCCCAGGGATATGTATGCCATAAAGAATCAACTGTCAAAGCTGAAGACCGAATATGGCAGCATGGTTTCCGGGATATCTGACATTTTGAGTGAGATTGAGATTTGATTTGATTGAGATGTTTTATGGGCAACTGTGCCATCGTCGTTGGAGCTACACTTCTTATCCGACACTACTCCGATGATATATCGGACGTCAGCCTGAGAAAGATTAAAAGAGCTCTCCAGCATCTTAAATACTTCATAAATCAGGTAGAAAACCAGTGCTTCAATCCTTCAAAAGCTCTTTATTTCCATCCTTCATGGAGGCACTACTCCGAACGCCGGAACAGAAGTGCGTTGTTCTTGTTTTTCAAGAAAGCGTTGCCGCTTTTTGCGCGAACGCTTTCTTGAATAACTTCAGACCGATTTCCTTTCTTAGCCGCGTCTACATACTGTTTTCAAGAGTCATTTCGAATCGTTCCGCTTGTAGACTCAACGACTTCTAGTCTCCCGAAAAAGCCAATTTCCGAAAAGGCTTTATCACCATAGACCACATAAATACCTTACGGCAAATTGCACAAAAGACTAAAGACTACAATCTGGCACTCTGTCTTACGTATTTGGAATAAGAGAAAGCCTTTTATTCTGTCTAAATTTGGGTGGTCCTGTAGTCCCCTCAATGGTGCCAGGTCGACTGTCGGTATATGGAAGTGCTGAAGTATTTGTATATAATAGCGCTACGATGGATATCCAAGTACAGAACCAGAGTACGAAACCTATCTAACTGCAGGGAGGTGTAAGACAGTGGGACGTTATATCGCCGAAACTCTTCACCACTGCACTGTAAAACGTTTTCAAACTACTGAACTGGAAATTATATGGTATTAACATCAATGGCAAATACATCACTCACCTTCGAGATGCTGACGATAAATTTCTTACGGCAGAATCACAAGAGGACCTAAGCACTATGCGCAATGACCTCATTAGTTTTTCCAAACGGAAAGTTCTTAAGATAAAGATAGATAAAACAAAAGTCACATATAACGTTCATATCACACCTATACCGGTAGTAGTTGGGAGCATTAAGCTCGAAGATGTTAACGACTATGTTTACCTGGGACAAATAGACCAACTAAGTAAGTCCAACTTCGACTGAGAGGTTGATTGACAGATTCAACACAGCTGGGCAGCTGGATCTGAAACTTGGTCCTTCACTACTGGCCATATGAGGAAGCTCAACGTCGCTCAGCGAGCAAGGGAGAGGGCTATACTCGGAGTTTCTCTGAAAGACTTAAAATCGAAAAAAAGGATATCCGCAGTAGAAGAAAAGTAACCGACATAGCCCAACGGATAAGTAAGATGAATTGGCAAGGGGCCGGCCATATAGCACCAAGAACCGACAGTCGATGAAACCCGGACCAGTATTCGAAGTGTGGCGCGAGCCCCTCACTGGTGAAGTGATAACTTGGTAAGACATTTAGGAAGACGATGAGACGATGATGATGAGGACTGTACTTTGTGGCATTGCTTGGAGGAGATCTATGTTCAGCAGTGGACTTGTGAAGGACTGTAATGACGATGACGATGATAATGATGATTAAAATGCACTTAATTACTCAAGTTTACTATTGACCAAATATTTTCTTAGGATAATCGTATAAACAAAGAATTGTTATTCATTATTTTTATTAATTAGTGTTAATTTATATAACGATTATATCATTATAATGAGCTTTAGGATGCACCTTAACCACATGCGTAAAGAAACTGACCTTTTAACCTACTATCACTCATACTGCAAGAAATGTCTAGTGACACGCAAACAGCCTATATATAATTGTCTTAAATTATGAAAAATATTATTACTGTGATTATTTTTTAAATTTAATATATTTAAAATATATCGGACGAAAACGATCAAACAATAATCGTATAAATAAGAAAAATATAGACATACAATAATTATCGTATGAATAGATACTTCCATTATTGATAGTGTGTCTAGACACGCTAATCGAATTGAAGTTTACAGATGAAACTCATGACACCTATCTAGAGTAAAGTAAAATATTGAATACAAATAATTATGAGACTATGAGTGTAGCTCACATTATATTAGTGAGTATTAAAAATGTAGGCTACCACGACTCTTTTGATTACTCTAGAATTGATTATTTAATATTTAAGATACACATTTGACAAAAATGAGGTGTTTTTTTAAATAACACCTCGTGATTCCATTCTTCTTGATAATATTACGTGTAACATTTATATTAAAGTCAAATGTCATTTTTATATTTTCTTATTATATAGAATTTGATGTCGTCATTAATAGGTAGTATTTAAAGACAACATTATTATGTTGCGCTTTAGTTGTGCGGTGAATATTGCGTAACACAAAGGCATGGGATCTCAGAGATAAAACCATGGTTGTCACAGGTGAAAACATTGGTATTGGATACGAAATAGCTGATAAATATGTGCAAAGTGTATAAATAAGAAAAATATAGACATACAATAATTATCGTATGAATAGATACTTCCATTATTGATAATGTGTCTAGACACACTAATCAAATTGAAGTTTACATATGAAACTCATGATATCTATCTAGAGTAAAGTAAAATATTGAATACAAATAATTATGAGACTATGTGTGTAGCTCACATTATATTAGTGAGTATTTAGAATGTAGGCTACCACGACTCTTTTGATTACTCTAGAATTGATTATTTAATATTTAGGATACACATTTGACAAAAATTAGATGTTTTTTTTTTA